CCGGGCCCCTGAATCGAACATGATCAAAAAGATTCTAACAGCGCAACCCGTGGGAATGAGAAGACAGGGTAGACCAAAGCTGAGGTGGATGGATGGGGTAACACAAGATGCGGAGAAGATCGGAGTCGGCAACTGGAAAATGCAAGCAAGAGACAGAACTGAATGGCGTAGAAAGCTTGAGAAGGTCGAGGCCCTCTAAGGGCTGTAGCACCAAGATGATGATGATAATGGAAGGTGCATCTACTGTGATTGGAGAAAGAATGGAAAATCTCATTTTTATTGCTACAAAAGTAAATAGCCGTTTAATGCTTGACAATCTCCTGCCACTGTGGCCTAGCTTCGTTGTCAAGCTATTCACGGACTACTTTCAGAACCAATGGCTGTTAAATTGGTTCTTGGCAGCAGCCAGTAAGCTATTCGACCGTATGGAAAGAATGGATAGAGAAAATATAGGAACAGCAGCACTAGGAGTGGAAAAATCAAGAAAAGTGCTAGAGTCGGCAGCAAGAGAAAAGAAAGTAACGGCAACGATATACGGCAAAACGTTTAAGGAAATACAAATAGTAACCACAGAAAAGAAAGGTATGGGAATCATCACAAAACCGAAGGACAAGCCCTATGCTGAACTTGTAAAAGAGTTAAGGGAAAAGCTAGGAGAAAGAGAGGATGTCGTCATAAACAATGTTAGACAAGCCAGATAAGAAGGTGTGATTCTGTAATTAGATGGATTCAAGAAAATGGCGGAACAAGTCAGGAATTTAGTAGCATCAAGACAAGGATGCGCAACAAGAATAGTGGCAAACTGCTTATGGAATGGATAGGAACTCTGGATTTAGTTGTCTTAAATAATGGTCGGGAACAACGTTCGTGAGGGGAAATTCGCATTCATATATCGATGTCACCTTTGCCACACAGAATGAGGCAGAGAAAAATTAGAGACTGTACCGTGCTGTCAGATGACACTGCTACAGAACACCGCTACATTGGCTTTTCGATCGTCGGAGTAGGGACTACCAACGTGGAGTCATCAGCGAACCAAATAGAAAGCAGAGGTGGAGATAGAACGGACTGACTAGCGTTTAATGAGTATTCTAGATAGTTGATAGAGAGGAGAAGATGCCAACAGCTATCGACAGAAAGACTAAATCAATAATAAGAGAGACTATGAGAAATTGCATAAACGGGGTAGATGAAAAAAGAAAAATGCCTTATTGGTGGTGCGAAGAGATCGCCAATAAGAGGAAGGAATACATTGCCATCGGAATACAGGCTACGAGGGCAAGAGGTAGAGGAGAAGTAACCGAAGCTAGCAGGATGGATATGTTATACAATGCGCGAAAGAAGGAACTGAACAAGAAGATCCGAACCGAGAAGAACAGGCACTGGAGAGAACTGTGTGACAAGTTGGATGAGGACGTTTGGGGCCAGGGGTACAAAATCGTAATGAACCAGTTCAAGCTTTACCCTCTGTATGAGATGCCACTAGACAGGAAGCTTGAGGTTACCCGAGAGATGTTTCGAGAAAATCTGGCCATTGGCATGGAGTGCAGTGGGACGCCGAAGCTGAGCGAGCTGTATTTGTTTACCGTAGACGAACTCAACGAAGCGTTGAGTGCCCTAAAGACACGAAAGGCTCCGGAACTCGTTGGAATACCACCAGAAGCGGTGAAACGCATTGGCAGTGTGGAGCAGACGTGGCTTTTGGACCACATGAATGTACTGCTTGAAACTCAGCGATTTCCGGCAAATTGGAAGATTTCGAGGCTTGTGCTACTTCCAAAGGGGGAAGACAAGGACAAGGATCGACCTATTTGCCTTCTGTCGTGCATAGGTAAATTATACAAAAGGCTCCTAAGATGTCGAATAGACACAGTGATTGAAGAGTCAGGCGGGCACCCAGGCAGTACGGTTTCAGAAAGAACAGGAGCACGGTGGATGCACTGATGGAAGTCTTCCTACTGTTGTTTGACGTCCGGAATGCTTTCAACACATTAAAATGAAGGCTCTACGAGGGAGAAGGTGTCCGAGGTACTTAATGAATTTGGTCTCCGACTATTTGTCAGAGAGGAAAATTGTGGTAGAAAAAGGAGGTCTCTATGCTGGTAGTGGCGCGGGACAGGAGGACCTGGAGGACTGGCTGCGGGTAAGACCGAGGCTATAATTCTCAAGGAACCAAGGAAAAGGAACGGGATAACATTCGAATGTGAAGGAAAGAGAGTGGTTCCAAAGAAATGCGTGAGGTATTTAGGGGTGACTCTGAGTCAAAACGGAAAGTGGGGGAGCACGTAAAAGCGGTGACTCAAAGAGCTGAGGTGAGATCCGCCGCATTGGGAGGGATCATGCCCAACATCGGAGGGCCCAAAACTGAGAGGAGAAGGGCTCTCATTCAGAGAGACTTTCATTCTGTTGTGCAATCGATCGTCCTCTACCCTTTGGCTATCTGGAGTTCTGCAGTTTTAACAAAGACGTACAGAAAGCAGCTCATTCGAGCAGATAGAAAGACTCTATTGATGGTGGCATGTGCATACAGAACAGTCTATGCCGAGACGTTAGGAGTTATCACCGGTGTATTCCGATGCACCTGCTAGTGAAGGAAACAGGAAGAATATAGGAGAGAAGAAATGAAGACATAGCAACAGAACGTTTAAAAAAGAAGAAAGGGAGGGTCCATAATGGTGTGGCAAGAGGAATGGGACGAGATGAGAAGGGTGGCGTAGTGGACGAAGCATTGATTCCTAATCTGAGAAGATGGATGGATTGCGGGCACCGGCATTTGGATTATTTCCTGACGCAGATGCTCACAGGACATGGTTGCTTCAAGGCATACCTTTACAAATTTGGAAAGGCAGAAAATGACAAGTCCCTGTATTGTCAAATATCGGACACTGTCTCACACACTCTATTGGTATGCGATAGATGGATAGGTGAGAGTAGCCTGCTTGAGAGAGAGCTAGGAAGTAGGTTGCAATCAGTCACGGAACTGGTGAAGGAGATGCTTAGGTCGTCCGATCGGTGGAAAGCAGTTCAGATATATGTGAGGAGAACATTGGAAAGAAAAGAACAAGAAGAAAGGCAACCCGAAGGGATGCAGGGTGCCCAGGACAAGCAAGAATATAAGGCAGAACGAGAAGGGGTGAGATTAACATGAACAGGGAGGAATAGAGGGAGAGAAGAATTCCGTTGTAGCGAGAAAGCGCTAGAATCCGTGAGAATTGTGCGTGAATGAAAGATCGGTGAATGCCGTGCCGATGTTGCGTCCCAATCATGGCGATCCGGTCGGTAATTCACCGCTGAGGAAGGTGTTTTTTCGTGTAACCGAGGCTAGAAGGAGGTTTTGCCCACCTTCTAAGACCAAGGTATGTTTCGAACATTTGGACCATCCCCCTCATAAAAGAAGAAAAAAACTGTTTGCATCACGTTGAAGGTCTTCTATCAATCCACAATTTGTAACACGTTAGTCGCCCTTGACGTTTTTATTTCCAAGAACCAGCTATTGGGCCGAGATCTTTCTCAAATTGGGCGGCCCACACCCGGCTCAGCGTATTTAGATCATCTTCTAATACTTCTTACTTGACGGACTTTGCGTTGATATCGGGGCAGATTCTTTACGGCTTCAATGTACCTATGTGTTAAGAGCATATCATAGCTGCATGTCAGGGTTTAAGGAACTACAATAAAATTATGTTTTTTTTTGTAGCAATTTTTTTGTCATTATGTTGAATTAACATTTTAAGTATTTTTGTCGGATTACGTTAAGTAAAAATTAGTTTCCTTAAAGGCAAAATAGAGGGCTGTAGAGCTGTAGGAAGAAAACAAGTTTCTTGGTTAAAAAACATTCGTGAATAGTCAGATACCAAATGCAGGACAATTATTCCATATTGCAGAAGATCGAGAAGCCTTCGCAATGGTGATCGCCAATGTCGGATAAATCTGATATGGCACGCGAAGAAGAAGAACAATTAGTATACATGACATTATTTTTATAATTATTTAAATCGTTGTTCTGTTTAGTGTAATAAATTTCAAATAATTTTTTTTTACTAAAACGTCCTAATTTATTCACCTATTCTTAATTCCTTCTTCTTCTCGTGCCACTCCTAGCGGAGATTGGAAATCATCATGGCCACTGCGACTTTGTTAGCAGCGCGCCTGAAAAGTTCAATCGAACTACACCCGAACCATTCACGTAGATTACGAAGCCACGATATTTTTCTTCTTCCCACACTTCTTTTGCCCTTAATTTTGCCCTGCATGATGTTTCTTAAAAGTTCGTACTTTTCACCTCTCACAATGTGCCCCAAGTATTCCATCTTTCTAGTTTTTATCTCATTTAGAATTTCGCATCTTTTGTCTAAAGTTTGGAGTACTTGCGTGTTAGTGACGCGGTCCATCCATGATATTCTGAGAATGCGCCTATAGCACCACATCTCGAAAGCTTCGATGTTTTTTATGGTCAACTGTTTTAGTGTCCAAGCCTCAACTCCATATAACAGGGTAGAAAAGACATAACACCGCAGCATTCGTATTCGTAACTTTATATTGATATCACGATTGCAAAAGAGTTTGCGCATTCTATTAAAGACTGATCTAGCGATTTCTATTCTACATCTAATCTCTTTTGTTTGATCAGTATCGTCTGTGATCCAAGCACCTAGATATTTATAACAGGGCACACGCTCAATCGTTGTATTGTCTATTACAAGATTAGCTCTGATGTCTTAATTCCTACAAAATAAAAATTCTTCTATTTGTGCAACTGGTCTATGAGTCCGGGGCAACTAAACTTGTAAGATACTATAGCGCTACTAATCGAAAGTTCAAAAAATGGTTCTTATTAATTAATAATATTCAATTTCCTTATTCTTATAGCTTTATTACCTGATTAGATAACACGATTTGATAATTTCTAAGAAATGAAGAGTTGTAAGTACAGTAAACAGTAATTTTTAACAATGAAAATTCATCTTTGGAAGGTGTAAGTTACATACGTTTTAACTTACCCAAGTATGGTGTCGTCATCAGCAACTACAATCCATTTTATGGAGTTATTATTTTTAATATCTTCCAATACATATTTTAATATTGCTATGGTTTTCATACAGTGTCCAGTTTCACTATTAGGTACACCTAAATCTATCGTTGGAATTGATTTATCTAAAATAGGAAGGTAGGTAGAATTAAATAATAACCAAAATTGTTATAGACTAACATCATAATAAAAACATAAAACAGGTACCTACTAACAACCACTAGATTAGATTAGAACAACCATTAGATATATTGTAAAAAATCTTACTAAGACTTTTTGTCAACAAACTTACCTTCTGTATCACTAAAAAACTTGATAATTGGAATATGTCTACCCCAAGTTTGTTGAACAATAGGAACTCTGTCTTTATGAAACTTTGTACAAGTTTTTACAGCAAAATATATATTGCTTAGTGGCACCAAATTATCCTAAAATATCAAAATTTAACGTTGTAGTAGATATGGCAAATAGTACTTGGGAATGTTAGCAAATGAACTTTATTATATTTTATAGTAAAATTAACATGCTTATAATCAGGACTTTAGTGCCAGAAATAAGTCTATACTCGGTTCACAATTTGTTGATAGCTCACTACAAGTTTAATCCTAATTAGAGAACTGAAATACAGAGAGGATAGGTAATACGATATAATAGTAAAAACCAACCTGAAACTGACGATTTAAGATGTTTTCGACTAACCCACCTTGTATCTGCCGGAATACAATACAGCGGTCAAGCTTATAATCCGATTAGGAACGTATTTTGGCCGACCAGTGTCGTAGAGTATATGATTGAAACATTTATTTGAACTAAATAAATATATTTTTTAAATTGTATTTTTGTTTTAATAAAACTTATAATAAAATAAAATATTTTATTCAAAAATAAAGTTTTTTGCCATTTGTAAAAGATACATTTATTTAATTAAGGGGAAAGGCACCAAATGTGTTTTAAATGTATCCATTATTTTCGAATTCGGAGAAAACTAATAAATATTTTTGAAAAATTTAAAAGCAGAATGAAAGATTACATTATTACTGAGGGTATTATATATGTGTATACTGATGTATATTACAGAAAGTCCCTGAAAACTTCTACAATGTTTATTTTATTATGTTATGCAACAGGGGTGAAAATAAAAGAGAGAATATAGTATAATTTTTAATTGAAAATATTGCATGCAAAAGAAACTTTTTATTTATTCTAATAAATATTTTATTCTGCCTTTAAATTTTTCCAAAAAGGCTTTTTAGTTTTCTCAGGATTTGAAAAAAAATCGATACATTTAAAACACATTGAACATTTTGACAGGCGACGTTTTGCGCCTTTCCCCTTTAATACCTTACGATTACAACTACTATCACTTACCTTATATAATTACGATTAGAAAACTATTCAAATTCAAAATAAATAGGATCAACTTCGGAATCCGAGTCGTCTTGAGGGTTAATAATTAGCGGTTGTGTCTCTACGGTCGCATCAATTATGTTATCAAGATCCCACATTTTTTGTTCTTCTTCTATTACATGTCTTACTGCATCTTTCCAGTTTTGTTCTGTAATGTGTTGTAAAGACTCGTATAACAATTCACGTACAGCTTGTATTTTATATGACGTATTTTTTCTAGCCACATAACTTTTCATTTGTGCCCAAATGAGTTCAATTGGATTTATTTCGCAGTGGTAGGGTGGAAGTCTAAGGACTGTGATGTTTCTCCTTTCCGCCATTTTGTCAACTACGTATTTCTTGAACTTAGATTTGTGTTGCCGGGCAATTTTTAAAAGTTCTGCTTTTACCATTCCATCTTCGTAAGGCAGGTACTTATTCCGCAGCCAGTCAAGAATATCCTGTTTTTTCCACGCAGTCGTTGGAAGTCTTTCTACTAGTCGTGAATGATAAGGTGCATTATCTAATACTATAATTGAATTTGGTGGTATGTGTTCAATCATCTGCACAAAATACTCTTCGAAAACATCAGCTGTCATCTCCTCGTGATAGTCTTTTGTGCTTTTGGACTGAAATTCCAACAAACCATGCTTAACAAATCCTTTTTCACTGCCAATGTGAGAAATTATTAATCTACTGCCTTTACCAGAAGGTGGGGAGATACCAGTAGACCAACCTTCCATAAAGGCTTGCCTGGAGCTTAATATATTTTTATCTGACCAAACTTTTTTTAGAGTATGACCTGAGTTTACCCACGATTCATCCTGGTAGAAGATTGGCCTTCCTTCAGCCCGGAATTTTCGTATGGATCTTAGATAATTTCTTCTCCAACATATTATCTCCTCCCGGTCAATCAAAAGTGATTTTCGGTCTGATTTCTCCCACCGGAAATTTAATTCTTTTAAAACTTGCCACAATTTAGTTCGTCCGATATGAGGCAAATCCGGATCATCTCTAACTTCTTGTAAAATTTTATTTAGGTTTGGTATTTCTTTTTTGAAAAAAAAATCCATGAATTTTCCTTCGAATACCATTTTTGGCAAATTCATCAAGTTCAATAGGCTTTTTCCCTCTCTTTAAGTGTTCGTTTGTGTTTGGGTTAGCTATACCGTGTTTTTTTCTTTCTGATAGGAACCTATATATAGTTGACTCCCCTACGCCAGTCATGTTGGCACAACTTTCGACTATGTTGCGAACAGTGTTTGTGGGATTCTGAGAAACCAGAGCATCGTGAACATTCAGGACAATAGTCTTCTCTCTTGGTGAATAGACAGACTTACTGACTGTACGCAACAGTACCGGTGTAAAACTTGATGATGTTGATGATGAAGCCATCACAAACAATCCAACAAAACGAGCACGAGCGAAAGGTACGTATATGTTCGTAGGTATATGGAATAAAAAATCACTCACGCACTGCATATAATTCGCAAAAGAAATATTCGAGACGCTAATTACTGCCGTAGAAGCGGAAACACCGACGAGCCGTAAATTACATGCGATCAAAAACGTACTAAACAAACAAATTGTTTTCGTTCGTAATAACTTCACCCTTTTAAGTTAAGTTTCGAATATAAACTAAACAGACGAGGTACGTGGCCAAATCCGGCATCTATACCCATTATATTATTAAAAATCTGGGGAATTCCATCCTAATTATCTTGCAACCGATAGTACCTTCGGATATAAATACCAGGTTTTCTAGTAAAGTGATTAAACGCGAAGATTAGTATTGAAATATCCAAAGAGATAAGGTATTCTTATTTACAAAATTGTTAATGGTTAAATTATTATTTTTATTAATATAATATAATAACCAACATTAGCCGTGAAAGTTTTAATTGTTTTTTACTAAATATATCAGTATTAAAACATTATTAATATTAATATTAATTTTAATGAATAAACACCTCAGGAACGCCTATGATGATACAAATTTTACGACCGTTTGATGATTTTGAGGCATATTTCGTGCTATCAACAATTTGTGAACAGAGAATAGGACACAGTATATTGCTAAAGAATTCTTTTAGCATTAAACTGTGTCTAGGATATCAAATGAATAATAAAAATAAATACAAAACTTACACAGGTTGGAATAGGGCTCGGAAACGAGATGCACAATTGACTTACTGGTTTTTCATCGAAACTTCTACTACATAATGAATTTTCGTGTTGTAACATCGGGCCATTGCCGTCGTTCCACACTACACGCGCCAATTCGTAACCGCTATCAATGTTGAAATTGGAACTTAATAATTTATTATCTGTCCATCGCTCCGACAATCTAATGAATAAAAAATATATAGTCAATAGTTCAGTTAAGTCTACATTTTTTTATTATTTACCCCAGACTAAAGTTTAATAAAAAAAACTAAACCAAAATTACACGCCATAAATATGGCACTTGTTGTGATTTGGAAATACAGAAATTTATTAAAATTTTAATCATCATCATCATCATCATCCAGCCTCTATTTATCATGTCCACTGCTGGACATAGGCCTCCCTTAAACTCCTCCATTCCTCACGATTTTGTGCTCTTTGTTGCCAATTTTTAGTGATACGCCTGATGTCGTCGGCCCAACGTGTAGGTGGTCTTCCTCTACTGCGTTTGTCTGCTCTTGGCCTCCAATTTGTAATTTTGCTCGTCCATCGTGAATCGTGCATTCTCGCTACATGGCCTGCCCAGTTCCATTTTAGTTCCGCTATGCGTTCCACAACATCAGTAATACTCGTCCTTCTTCGCAGATCTTCGTTTCTTATTCGGTCCCTCAACGTCACTCCCAGCATAGACCGTTCCATTCGTCTCTGTGCCACTCTCAGTTTCGAAGCCGTGGTCTTGGTTAAAGTCATAGTTTCCGCCCCATAGGTCATGACCGGTAATACGCATTGGTCAAACACTTTTCTTTTGAGGCTGATTGGTATGTTGGCCCTAAGTGTGTCTCGCAGTTTTCCAAAGGCTGCCCATGTTAAAGTAATTCGTCTTTGGATCTCACATGTTTGGTTATCCCTGCTGATTCTTATTTCATGACCCAAATACGTATATTTCTCCACCAGTTCTACCACTTTGTCTTGAATAGTCAAATGGTTATTGGGGACCAAATTTGTCATAAACTTAGTTTTGGTCAAGTTCATTCTCAGGCCCACCTTCGAACATGCAAAATCCAATTCGTTTAACATATCTGTAGCTTCTCCTAAATTATCTGTGATAAGGACAATGTCATCTGCGAAACGGAGATGGTTAAGCTTTTCGCCGTCTATCGTTACTCCTCTGTGGTCCCAATTGATCATCTTAAAGGCATATTCTAATGCCGTTATGAATAATTTCGGCGACAATGTATCTCCTTGCCTTATTCCACGATTTATTTTTATTGGTCGGGTTTTATTGTCTATTTTAACAGTCATAGTGGCATTTTTGTAAATATTATAAATAAGCTCACTATACCTATGGTCAATCCTGCTGTCATTCATTGCTTCTATAAGGCTGTCTAATTCGATCGTGTCGAACGCTTTATGAAAATCTATGAAAGTGAGAACAAGAGGTTTGTTATATTCTATAGATTTTTCAATGAGTGTCTTTACTGTGTGGAGGTGATCATTGGTACCATAATTTGAGCGGAATCCTGCCTGCTCTCTCGGTTGGTAGAAATCTAATTTTTTCTCCAATCTTGATGTCACTACCCTAGTGAAGAGCTTGTATATGTGGTTCAACAGGCTAATAGGTCTATAATTTTCTAGGTCCGTTCTATCTCCTTTTTTATGCAAAAGGATGGTTGTAGCATTGTTCCACTCTTTGGGCACCTCTCTTTGCTGCAACCCTATAATATATCGCACACCTATATTAAAAGTGTAGTAACTCAAAAAACCACTTTTTGGACAAATTGAAAAAATCTAATCTACTGGATATAATAAAAGATTTAAAAGCGTTTGTAAATAATATTGGAAGCACATTGGTTTACGAAGTATTTTGGTATCAGATGAGTAATAATCTTGCATTTTTAATAGAAAAAATTGAGATTTTTTGACTTATTACACTTTCGAAAAATGAAAACCGTCATGACTTCAAAATTTTTTTGAATTAATTCACTTTTATTGCAATTAAATTAAAATGCAACGCTTTTAATCTAAATTTGTCAATGTGAATCATAACACAAAACTGTTTTTTTGCAAACCAGTATACGAGTACCGTTCATTTCAAAAAAATATGCCTTATTCAGTGCTCTTAAATTTTGGGTGCTAGAATATCTGTACTTAGGTTTGATTTCATCTATGTGTCGTAAGATGTAATCTCTTTGACGTTGAAGATCAGCCATTACCCAATAATTATTAAAAATGCGTTGCCTATCTTCGATATTAATATTATTATTACATCTCAAACGACATAATTCACCACAACTTTCACGAACCATTCTTCCTGAAATTTCTTTTTTTGACTTAGACATAGAAACGTATGCCTTACCTGAGTTTCGTAACTGTTTTGCTACATTCGTCTTCCAATTCTCAGGTTTTCGGACTCTTTTTTTCCTTTATTTTCTCCATTATCTCCAATATTCAAAACTGTAGAATCAGATGTGCCGACAGATTGCCGAGAAAGGCCTTGGATGGTAAAATGCAGGGCAGAAGACCAAAGGGAAGACCACGTAATAGATGGGAGAACGAAGTCACAGCAGATGCGCACAACTTACTGAACGTCAGGGCTTGGAGACGAGTGGCGCGGGATCGCCTTTGTTGGAGGCAGAAGTTACAGGAGGCCAAGGCTCAATTTGGGCTGTAATCGATCACTATCGGAGCTGTCAGAACTAGTCGAAGAACTGCTGCTGCTGCTGGATGAAGAATTATTAGTTGTAGGAATTAATCTGTTTGAGAATAATTTGTCTGGAGAGACATCAAAATTTGGATCAGCATCGGAATCATCTATATCGCTTTCGATACTTCGAATGTGAGGTATGTAATAATTTTTTCTCTGATCCATATTAACAATATTAGAAGTACTTGGTAGACATAAATGATTATAGGTGTTTTCGTTGGAAATGGTTTGAGTTTCGTTTAAATATATGCTATTCTCGGGTAGTAAATTTTCATTTCCAGGCATAAAAGAAAACTTATCATGTTGACGACTATATTGATCAGATTCCTTTGAATTGAATTCTAAAGAATTTGTGGTGTCATGCAAAGGAATACTTTGAACTTATGAAATGTTGGAAGAATCTTTATTAATGTTCTTATTTTCATGCTTTTGTAAAGCCATGTCAACAAATAAACGGCCACGGCTCAGCATTATACTGAAACAATAACGATAAATAAACTAAACCGTCAAAAGTGAAGCAACTCAAAAATATCTTTTTATTAATTTGAAATGAAAATTTAATATTCCAAAATCTATAAAATAAAAATAAATCTCTTATAGTTAACATAAAGTATTCAAAATTATCCCAAATATCAAGAACTAACTAAATTATCTTTACAAAATGAATTCACCATTAAAACCGATTTAACCCTAAATTTAAAAAATAGTTCATTAAAACTGTAGCAAAACAAAATAAACTTTAAACAAATTAAAATTTAAGCAACAAAACTGCTACAATTCAAAATGCTGCTGTAAAAATATCTGAGTAAATCAGCTAAATTGTATTAAATCTAAATAATTATTGTAGTTTTATCAAGTTTACTCACCAAAACCGTTGCAACTCAAAATGCCACACTGTGAAACCGTACACTCTGCACGAAAGTCGGAGCGTAACTAAAAATGGCGCGGTTTTATACTGAGGGCGAACGAGTGATCATTCAGCAAAACCGACTTACAACGTCACCTGTGACACACTAGGAGAATACAATAACTGCAGTTTTATTGACGAATAGGTAATTATTCGAGGAATTTAAATATGACCTTAACTCAAATACTCACATTTTTGAGTTGCTACACTTTTCATGCTGGTGTGCGATATATACCCTTTAAAATTTTAATACTAACGGTAAATTTTAAGTATATGCCAACACATAATCTATACAATACAATTATCTCATACAATTATCTATTGGATATTTAAAGTAACCTGCCAACTAATTTACCTTAAAATTTTAAATTTATTAAATTTAAAAACCGATGAGTGAAAATCGAAACTAAAATTGTGGTCAATTCCTATTTAAAATAGTAAACATATATTTTTTAATACACACATATATTCACTTGTAGGAAACTCTACCTTTTAATTAACTCCCACTGTCATTACTGATAAAAACTTACGGGAAGTTAAAGAAATTTTCTTCGCTCAATACTTGTTTTGCCGATGTAAGAATGTCACATATTTAGAATACATAAATGGTAGTCTCTTCCTCCAAAATCCTCCTCTAAAATACAGAATTACGAAAGCGAAAGAAGAATGCGCAGAAATAGAAGAATACCAGAAAAGACATGATAGTTTTAACACACATAAAAAAATTAAAGAATTAACTGACAACAATAGAACAAGAAAACCGGGAATACTGAAAGATGCAAATGGGAAACTTGTGTTGAATACTAACGACAAATTAAAGAGATGGACAGAATACATCAATGAACTATTCAAAGACAATAGAACAGAATAGATGGAGATAGAAGTAGAACAGGATACGGTTTTAAAGATATTAAAAGAGGAAATTAAAATGGCATTAAAAAACAGCAAAAATGGTAAAGCATTAGGTCCAGAACAAATCCCTATAGAAATCTTAAAATGCATGAATGATGAGACCTTAGACATTATAGTAGACTTATTTAACTCAGTATACAAAACAGAACACATATCGAAACAATGGTTACTCTCCACCTTTTGTGCTATCCCTAAAAATACAAACGCTAAATATTGCAGTGAATACAGAACAATATCACTAATAAGTCACATTCTCAAATTATTCCTGAAAATAATCTTCTTCTTCTTCAAGTTCCACTCCTATCGGAGATTGGAAATCATTCTGGCAATTATAATTTTATTGGTTACTCGCCTGAATAGTTCAATTGAACTGCATCCAAACCATTCACGGAGATTGCGTAGCCACGAGATTTTACGTCTTCCTACGCTTCTTCTACCTCTGAAAATAATACATGGTCGTATAAATAAAAAACTGGAAGAAGGAATATATGATAGTCAGTTTGGGTTCAGAAACGAACTAGGAACCAGAGAAGCGTTATTTGCTTATAATGCTCAAAGATGCATGGATATGAATGTTGATGTACATGTTTGTTACGTTGATTTTGAAAAAGCATTTGACAAAGTAAGACATGAAAAATTAGTCCAAATTCTAAAGACAAAAAACATAGACCATAGGAACTTACGAATAATAACAAACGTCTACTGGAATCAAAGAGCACAAATCGTAATAGATAACGAACCCAGTCCAGAAATTGATATCAGGAGAGGAGTTAGGCAGGGATGTATTATGTCCCCATTACCATTTAATGTATATAGTGAAGCCATTTTTGAAGAAGCATTACTATCTCAATACCTCAATAGTATCTGATAAATACAAATATCTAGGAACCTGGATTTCAGACAATAATAATCAAACAACCGAAATAAGAGCTAGGATAGAAATAGCAAGAAATGCGTTTGTAAAAATGAAAACAATTCTCTGCAACAAAGATCTTAGATTACAACTGAGAGTAAGAGCACTGAGATGCTACGTGTTTTCGATACTGCAATATGGACTTGAAAGCTGGACATTGAAGCAAGAACACATAAATAAGTTACAGTCCTTTGAAATGTGGTGTTACAGGAGTATGCTTAGAATAGCATGGACACAGAAGAAAACTAACACGGAAGTATTGCGAGAAATGGGCAAAGAATGCGAATTAATAAACACAATAAAAATAAGAAAGTTACAATATCTGGGACACGTAATGAGGGGACAGCGATATGAATTGCTAAGGCTGATAATACAGGGAAAGATAAGAGGAGGAAAGAGTATAGGAAGAAGGAGAGTGTCATGGTTGAAGAATTTAAGGGACTGGTTTAAATGCAGTTCTATAGAACTCTTTAGAGCAGCAGTAGATAAAGTAAAGATAGTGATGATGATATCCAACCTCCGATTGGGAGAAGGCACTTAAAGAAGAAGGTTCTTTCAACCTATGTACATATGTTGAAGATGTGTCTTCAGTAGATGGTATCTAGTCATCATATCTATGATCGTTTTTAGCTCTCTTCTACTCATTGGACTCCTGTCAACATTGCTAATAATAATTTTATTTATGTGGGTTTGTCCCTGAAGGGCACTCCATTTGTGTTATGACTAATGAGTTCATCAATGCATATTATCAGTGCAACACTTCAATCTGAAACACTGTTCCAAGCTGTAGCATTCGATGAATCTGGTTGTCTGTCCAAGGACCTCTGATTCCGTTTCATGAACAGTGAACAGTGAAGATGAGTTTGCATATCCCTTGCGTTGTTATGTGTTACATGTGTTGGTTTTCATTTTCTCGTTTTCTATCTAGGAGTCTAAGAATCTAAGGTGTCGGAGGGGATCGGAGAATTACAATTACCTCGTACGAGGCAATATTGCCGATTTTAGCGCTTTATGTAGTTTGCAATATCTAATCCAAAACTTAACGTACTGTATCTCAATTCATTAGCAAGAAGAATTCTTCAAATATGGTATTTATATCAGTAATAATTGTGGGACTATTCAATACTTTATTGGGTCTTACTGTGTTAAGAGGTTTTAGACTCATTACGGTCAATAAGTCTACTTTCGGAATGAGTATTACCAGAGGATGGGGGGGAAATAGTGTTAGCTTCTAATGATGCCGTTTCTTTATTTTTCTGAACTGTAATATTAAGGTGTACCTTTCTCTATACAATAATAAGGCTGGCAATATACGTCTTTTTCCACCACAGTATTGATCCGTAGGATAACCCTTAGTCGTATCGCTGCTGTATACAAACAACAGGCCACCTTTGGTTTTAACGTCCACATTTTAAATACAACCTTTCCGCGGCTCCAAAATAGTTGTAGAATTTTGTTGATAATGTTCATATATGTGTTTGTAATAAATGTGTTTGTAATGTTTCTAATATTAATATAAGTGAGCTTAGAATCCAAGGGGGACTAAATATTTAGCATCTTGGGTTCTAATCAGTCCCTCTTAGCTCACCCAAACCGGTAAGTTTACTCTTATTTGTGTAAATCTATAGTTTTATATCAGAAATATCCGCAGATAGGTTCTTTTTTACACAATACTTCCCTTTGTAGTTTTGAGTAAGGCTCATCTGATTCAAAAGGTCACCATAAACTTTTTCCTAGTATATTTTCTGCGAAATATTGCGGCCATTTCCCCTGGCTATTAAGTCTGTATATCAAATCGTCAACAACTATGTTTCTTAAGTTCTTCTCCCTGCTTTATAATTCATTTATGCATTTTTGGCGTATATTACTCTAAACTGAATCATTTAATACCTAGACGATGTTTCATTAGAATCTTTTATCATCACTACTGTGTGACGCTACCTGATTTTGAAGCTTGATAAACCAAGGATTCTCTGTAAGATTTTTATTTTTAATGAAGTCATTTCACATTTTTTTGTGTTAGGAAAGTTAGTTTATTTATAGTGATGATTTGTGTCTTCTCCCTTTTGTGCCTCACTGTATGGCGGAATATGATTTATGATAACATTAACATACTATAAAGTATCCTAATTTCGACTTTTTTCTTCTTCTTCGCGGCGGAGGTTAGCAATGTTAATGACTATTCTTATCTGAGACAAGAATCTGGATAATTCGATTAATGTTCATTTGCATCATGCTCTTAAGTTATGTAGCCATGAGATTGTTCTCCTTCGTATGGTTCTCTTCTCCTGAATATTCCCTTGTATAATCAATTGAAGAACATAGTATTTCTACCGAAGCATAATACGTCCCAGTATTGCAGCTTTTGGGTTTTGGGCAGTCATTATTTTAGGTTTGTGATCATCATCATCCAGCCTCAAGAGTCCACTGCTGAACATAGGCCTCTTCCTCATGTTTCCAACCCCGTCTATCTTGCGCCGCTCTTATCCAGTTTTTATTGAGTCTTCTTAAATCGTCAGTCCATCTTGTAGGTGGTCGACCGACGCTTCTCTTGTCTTCCCTTGGCCTCCATTCCAATAACCTCTTTGTCCATCGCCCATCTGTCATTCTGGCTATGTGTCCTGCCCATCTCCATTTTAGTCTGGCTATCTTCTCGATGATGTCAGTCACTCCGGTTCTTCTCCTGATGTCTTCGTTGGTTATTCTGTCTCGCAGAGTTATTCCTAACATGGACCACTCCATTCTTCTCTGCGTGACTCTCAGTTTGGTAGCTGCTGCTTTTGTTAAGGTAAGTGTTTCTGCTCCGTACGTCAAGACTGGGAGGACGCACTGATCAAATACCTTTCTCTTTAGGCATGTGGGCAGCTCACTTTTAAAAGTTTCTCTCAGTTTTCCAAATGCTGCCCACCCAAGGCCGATTCTTCTCTTCAGTTCATGAGTCTGGTTATCTCTGCCAATCATAATTTCATGTCCCAGGTATTTATATCTATCTACGAGTTCTATTTCTTTCCCACCAATACTGATGTTCTGGTTGGGTACCAAATTGGTCATGATTTTTGTTTTCGAGATAGGTTTGTGATATTCTTATAAAATTAGTTTTCTTGATTTTTATGCGTAGTCCATATTCCCTTCCATACTCAATTATCTTGTTTATCAGTCTCTGAAGGTCCCGGCAACGTCCACCAATATAACAGTATCGTAAAATGTTGTCAAACGGTGTTCCATTGACCTTTTTTCCAGCTGTTTTTCCCTCGAGAGAGATTTTCATGATTTCTTCAGAGAATGCGTTAAAGAATAGTGTTAATTAGTGATAATATTTCTGATGTATGCTCACTAATGTGTATTTTGGTCGCTGTTTATAATATAGATTCACTATAATTCGAAGGCTATTGTAGTTTATTTGTGTTGTTTTGAGAACATCTATTAGCTATATTCGAAAGCCTTGTTGTATAACCATAAGACATTAGTCTTATGGGGCGGTAATCGAGTACTTTTTTTAACTGTATATTTAATACTTGATTTAATATTAAAAGTTTAAAACAATACTTACTTCCGAAGTAATGTTATGCTAATAGCAAATCCCGATGCTACGTTGGGATATTTAAAAAATGTTGGATTTTCATAAAAGGCAAAATGATGTATAATTGTAGCAGCTTCATCGAAAAGTGCATCTCCAAACCAGATTTCCTATAACAAACAATTTCTGAAAAATATCACAAGTAAAAATTTGCGAAAATACGTACTTCATTGTGGTCGTATTTTTCAAATACTTCTAAAATATTTTCTACTTTAATATTTGTATAATCCTGTAGAAAAAATATCCAATAAGCGTTATTACTGTGGAGATCTGTTAACTTCGGAAAAAGAGGAGAGAATATCCACCCGTCAATATCTGGAAAATCTTTGTTAGATATATGGATGACTGGGCTAACCTAGAACAAATACAGCAATTATTAAAACAGACTTACCTTGTAACTCATTTTCCTTTAAAAAATTCAACAAATATAATTTACAGATAATAATCTGGCGATGAACTGTATTTGTCGGAATTGTAAAAAAATTGTTCAGAAATATTGGTAAAACGTAATAATGGACAAACTGGAGTAAACAGTATGAAATATGAATTGTAAAGAACTCTAAAAATATACAAATCTAATAGATATTTTTTTGAGTTAATCTAATAACTCCTTTGTATTTTTAACCGCACACATCAGTTTGTAAACTTTGGATTTCTCTCACTTTTTTTGTTTATACCATCCGTTTCTTTTATGACTATACTTGAATCATTTCATTAAACCCTATGTTCATTATCCTATACGTGTTTACATATTTGAGATCTATCAAAATTTCTATTTTTAATATAAGATTGATGCTCACTTTTTCTAACATTTAATGGCCTTGATGTTTCACCTAAATAAAACTGATCGCATTCACAAGGTCTTTTATAAATACAATTCTTTCTCCTTTCTTCTTTATTATTAATTCATTGGTTTCAATATGCCCTCAGGAAACAGAATTGTTTGACACAATCCTGAATGATATAAACGATAAAGAAGAGACAATAACATTTACCATGGAAAAGGAATATAATAACACACTACCTTTTCTGTATGTTTTAATCTCTAAGAACGATACTGGATATGAGACTCAGGTGTATAGAAAACCAAAACACACTAACAGATATTTAAATTTCAAATCAAATCACAATATTAATATTAAAAAGGGAATCATTAAATCCTTATACGATAGAGCCAAAATTGCTTGTTCTAACGAAAATTCGTTCTTGGAGGAAAAACATTTCTTAACATCTGTTTTATTAAAAAATGATTATCCTTTATCGTTTATAAATAAGGAATTTTCAACAATCGAACGAATAGAACAGAACAAGTTCGAACGAGATCCTGCAGCATATACAAGGAATAATACGAGGAAAATAATAATACCATACATAAAATAGATTATCAGAAAAACTTAAAAAGGATAGGAAATAAATTCAACATTTCAACAACATTCAAAACAACAAACACATTGAGATCTATTTTGTCTAAAACCAAACCTAACAATGAACAAGAAAGGACAAAGAATTGTATTTATAAAATACCTTGTGAATGCGATCAGTTTTATTTAGGTGAAACATCAAGGCCATTAAATGTTAGAATAAGTGAACATCAATCTTATATTAAAAATAGAGAATTTGATAGATCTCAAATATGTAAACACGCATGGGATAATGAACATAGGGTTCAATGGAATGATTCAAATATAGTCATAAAAGAAACGGATGGTAAAAAGAGAAAAATCAAAGAAGCGGCTCTAATTATGCTAAATGAGACCAATTGTGTCGCAAATTCCTCGGCAGAATGTAGTAGGATCTGGTTACCCATATCAAAAGAGGAAGTTATTAAAAGGAAAATACCAGTATTAGTAAGTCAGTAACATATCGAGGATACATCATTTATGTTTTTTAAATAACAAACATATAAAATCATAATTTGGTGTTTATTGAGAGTAAACTAAATGTACGACCAAATACTTAGCATGTCGGGATAGTATTATGAGGTTTTTTTCCAGGTTTTTCCTCATAATTTACTATGGAATCACTAACATGAGAAATTTACTGTCATCATGACATGTGGTTGTCTTTTAAAAGACGAATTACATGCTATGATTTTTTGTTGACGGATATTCTCAAGTTAAAGTTGATTTAGTAAAGTTGAAGGAACGTCTAGCGACATACAAGATATCATAGGACATTATGGATAAAAATAAATTTACTATAAAAAAAATTTTGATTTAATGACTTAAAGAAGGTCTCTGGCTGAATACAAAATAAACAACTGATCGAATCCTAAAGCAGGGTCCAAACTATGTAACAAAACATGTTAAATAACAAAGTTGTACAACAAATTTGTTTACAACTTTGTTTTGTAGCTTGTTATAATATAACATAGCATACAGACTATATAACTAAAAACAACACAGCAAAATGCGAATAACTTTTAGCTGGATGTCTGGTAGGTTAGGCAGTATATAAAATGGCGTCATAAGTAGATTTTTTTTTCAACTTCGCTTGTATCTGCTTTCACTTCTCCGGCTATTTCAGTCCATGCATAGTGTTTTTTATTTCGGTTTTTAAAATCCATGAATGTAGGATCCCATAATACTCGTTGTTCCCGAAATAGCTCAATTAAATGAGTAGTCAGTTCTTTCGACCATTACATCGCGTAAATAAGAAATAACCCCACGTGAACAGAGCAAAGAAAAATTTAGCAAAATCACTCAAGAATCAGAATGAACAGGGTGATATGACTCCGACGGTTTCTGCTCGCGTACTATGTCAAAGAAATGTTTCAATAACATGTTTTTAAGTGTAGATCAGTCACGATGCGGTTTTACAACAATGTTTTTAAACTTTCTTTGATGTTTACCGACAATTGTTGGATAACATAAAACTTGCTATATAACCAGAAAAATGTTATACAACACTGTGTTTTACAACTTTTTTATTTAAAATTCTGTAACAAGTTACAAAACTTCGTTATTTAAGCACAGCTGTTTCTAGTTTACGCGATAGTCTGATCCGTATCAGTGAAGGCATGTCGGACATATCGCTCAAATGCAAGGACAGAATGAAATAACGAATATATTTAAGATAGAAAAAAAGTTATTTAACTGCTTACCCAGGCCCGATGTGAGAAACGGTGACGACTATTAGATCAAGTCTGTTTGTTACTAAGTGACGAACGCGATACTATAGCTTATTTGTAGTGTACTGTTTTATGCGTCTTAAAAAGTTTTACTTTGCATTTTTCATATTCATTCATCATATCGAAATAAATCTGCATAGAATAATTTTGTGTGACAAAACAAAAGCATTTTATTAGAACATCATACGTTCTAGAAACCCCATTATATTTTACCAAAATTTTGGAATGCCTTCTATTCGCAGAACAAGGTTACTACCATTTGTTTTCGATACAGATTTCAGTCCTCTACAAAAAGTTTGTCATGAATTTTTATGTAAAATATTTAGGGAAGTAGGAAATCAATGTTTAGACATTCTCATTGAGTTTCCTATAACTCGTTTGACGATTTACCACCCGGTATACTACGATTGTATGTTTAAATTTGTATATCTAGAACAAAACAGGAAAACAATAGGAGAGTTAACCTCCTTACTGAAAAATAAAGAATCCTACAAAACCAAAATAAAAACATCGATAAGTTACACATTACACATTATGTGTTAGACATCAAAAATTCACGAAACAAAAAGGAAAATCATGTAAAAAGATTGTATGAAATCCATTTGAGTGTGTTTTATTTATTCCGTCTTATAATTTATTCACGATGCCAGTTGCCTCGCTACAAACACAACAGCACTTGTTTTAGACTCCTCGAAGATTGTGATTAAGATTAGACAAATAGAAAGCAGAAAAGTCTATTTTGGATTATCGGCAATTGGAATGGACTTCAATGGATTGATTTAAACTTTCCGGAACTTAATCTCTACTTGACACGATTTTCGTTAATATTGTTTCCAGAATTTAGAATGGTAAAAACTAAGAATCCTATTGACATTTAACTATGTCTTGTTAGGAAATTTCTAGTTGAACAATTATTTTAATAGAAATAAAGTCGTTATGGATAAACTTGTACACATTTTTAAATCAATAAATTGTTAACGGTTATTTTTTTATTTATAATTAGAAAATTAGCAATCAACTTGATTAAAAAGTTTGAAATAAATATGTTAAAGGTTAAGCACTTGCAATGGAACATCCATCAATGTGTCTTCTTAGAGAATGTTTATTTCAATGTGTACGAAGTCTTTCAACCAAGTTAAGCGTAGTGGTTCTTCTAATTATTGCTCCATCATTGTCCTCATTATCCTTGAAAACGTCATCTGTTGCAATCTTTACGTAGAGAGAAAACGTTGAAATGAAAGTAGACAATTGAATTTCTTTCCAATTCAAGCTCCACCATTATTCTACGCGTGTTTCGAAGTATTTTCATTGTTATCCGTTATTCATTCGTAGTTTACCTAATTCGCCATCGAAGATAAGTGTTATCACTTCTCGTTGTTTCATATAGAGATTGCTACTAGCCAACGCAGGCATGTTATGTTACTATAACGGCCAAACAATTGAGAGAATTCCATTTCTGTTCCAGGTACCACAAGTGCTCTTGATGTGAGGTGAATAGTTCAAAACACGTGTATAGTAACGGTGGAGCTTCAATTCAAAAGAAATGCAATCGTCTACTTTCATTTCAACGTATGATAATTATTCTACTATTGCGTTTTCATGCCCATCTGTTCTGTTATTAACTTTGGTAGCAGTTCACTGGATTTACTGTATAATACGTTGTGGGTTATGATGAGCGTTAGATTTCTCACATTCAAAGCAGCATCCACTAAGGATCTGAGTATTTTCAATTGGAGTCACTGGATTTTTATTCTTGATGGTTTAGCACATTCTCACAACTGATCATTTGCAGCACTGAACATTTTGTTGTTTGAAGACAACTTGAATTAGCGTAGTATTTTTATTATTTTTATTAGTAATCATTCAAACAGGTAATACGAGTAGGTAGGAGGCTAATATGTCGGTAGGGTTTAAGATTGGGTGGAGATAAGCTGAACCAGCAGAACTACGAATGAAGAAGTACTGAGAGTAATGAACACGCCTCTCATCTGGTCAATACTATCAAAATTAGAAAGACGTCATACTAGGACACATAATGCGCCATAGGGAATTTGAGCAGCTCCAGGTAATATTAGAAGCAAGATTGAAGGTAAAAGGGGCATAGGACGAAAGAAAAAATCTTGGCTACGAAACATCAGAGATTGGACCCACACAAGAGGAAATTAATTAATTCATCAAGCCCAGAACAGAGAGAAATTTGCCATATTGATCGCCAACGTCAACAGATAAAGCACTTAGGAGGAGGAGATTTGCTTGGCTTAGGAATCATAATA